CCTCTGGGAAGATTGCAACGCTGTGGGTTCCAGGAGCTGGTTTATGTGTGGATTTTTTTTTTTTTAACTGTCCTTTCCACTTTCAGTTGGGTAAAAGATTCTGCTATGTTGCATAAGATAAAGTATTAAAATGAAACAATGTGCACTGTACTATGTGACTTTTTTAAAAATCTTACTCATCAAACATAATTAATTTACCTTCAAGTTTGGGGGCATACAGAACAGCGTATCGAGGAGGCACAGCTCTGTGGGTAACCCCAGCACCCTTAGCAGGATTCTTCCATAGGCAGGAGAAGGTCCATAGCGCTGCAGGTGGCCATTGTGACCCTCACTGCGTACCAGTCTGCGTAGCATGTCCTTTAGCATCCCTGTAATGCTCCGTGTTGGCAAGGAAGACAAATTCCTTCCAATGTCTTAAATCTATGTTAAACTTTGTAGCGTGCCAGTAAAAGTGGGGGATCGGTAATGGTGACACAAGGGATGCGCTCAGTTCCAGCGTGAGAGATGGTTCTTCCCACCCCCCGTGTGATGGCTGATTCTGCTGAGGTAGCTAGTACAAAATGATTTACTTCTGTTTCTTACTTCTTTGTTATTTTTTCTGCTGATTTAATAAGCTGAAATGGGATTACTGAAGGACAAGGCTCTCCCCCACAAGAATTCTCTGTTCCAACACTAGTTTATAGAAGAATCTGCTAGCAAATCTCAGCTCTGATCTGCACAAAGGGCACAAGGAACTCAGTTCAAATGATGGTTCTTGTGATCCTGAGGTGACCATAAAAAAATCAACATCCTGAATTCCCTAGGCTAATTTGCAAATGGAGACATTTGAACTATACATTAGCAAGCTAATGCTCATTTAACATCTTTCTGTTTCATTGATGGTGACCTCTCCTCCAAAGGAGAAGAAACACTGCAGGTAGAAAAGAGAATTGGTCACTCGATGTTTGTTTGCATTTTTTTCCTGTCTCAAGCCTGAGCCCAAACATAGCATTAAACAGGTACATATAGATCAGGGTAAACCACCTTTGCCTTTCCCTGGTGTTGCTGCTTGGTGAGACATGCTGAGATACTCATGTCAGGGAGAAAAGCTGGGTTTATGCTGGCAGAGAAGGAAGGGTTTGGCCCAGCTCCAAAGTTCACAACTTTTTTGTATGTGCATGTTACAATTTTAGGGAGCCATCCCAGAATCAACACTCGCCTGGGAAATACTTTCCCATCCCACCCTAACCTTCCGCTCACTTTTCCTACAGTTGAATTTGCAACGTCAAGCCTTTTTATTAAAAAATAAAAGGCCAACTGACAGTAAGTGGGAAATTATCCCTGAATTCTTACATTTTATGACAGAACTTGTATTGTGTGCGCAAAACCCCATGAGGGCAGCGCCCGGGCCAATTCAAGGGATGTCTGTGAGTTGTTACGGGGGTAGGAGGCACACTGTGTGTAAAAATACAGAAATTGGTTTCTTATGTGTGTGTGATGACCCCTATGAACATAAATTTCCAAATACATTGGAATATTTTAAGAGACTTTAGTTTTTTCTGTATTTTATAGACAAAATGTGTTGTAACATTTGCATACAGAAACGAAGAAAATGTAAATAAGGGTTGGTATTTGTCCACTTCAGCCTTCAAGGAACTATGTTCTTGTGATGGAAAAAAAGTATGAGATGTTGTGATTCCTCCCTCGGTATAGTTAAAGGGTTCAGATTGTGACTGGTTCTTATGTGTTTGGATAAGAGGCAGAGAGGACACAAAAATCAAGTTTGTGATGGAAATTTCATGAAAAAGAGGCTGACTGCTCTCTCTCTCTCTCCCAAGAGGGCTGCAAGAACGTCAGTGTGAGGTCTGGGATATTTTTTTTTCCTTTAAGAAAATATTTACTGCTTATTTTCTACATTCCTTACACAGTCTAAACAACATTGAAGCCAAGGAGAGCTGGGTTTGGATTATGAACTTTTTCAGCTTTTTTAGAGTTGAGCTGTGAAATAGCTGATAAAAATAGCTTTTTTTTCCTTTCTTTTCTTTAAGCTGTTCATTTGGAGTATGTCTAAACCAAAGTTGTTTTCTTGTCAGCTTTAATATCGCTCATGCTAAAATTGTTCAACACCTGAGGAAACCTGTATCCATTGGGGTTGTGGATA